TAACAGTAACTGTCAAATTAATTTTGGCCAATTTAGAAAATGGCCATTAAACTCTGATTTTGTGGAAAGCTGAACTAGACCACCACGCACCTCTTTTTAACATTCCCTCGCCGCCTGCAAGGCACTTTTCCAGGCAGTCGAAGATCCATCGCCCCTTTTCTGGCTGAGCTTTCCAGATTCTGGGACAAATGTGTCAAGTAAAGCTATCTTGATCAATTCAAATTCCCTTTCTGGAAGCCATCCAAGGCAGTACTCTGTACGCTTAGCATGGCACCGCTGAGATCGATTTTTGTTCTTTTCCTCTTTCCATGGACCAGTATATCAATTTCCCTTTTGCCAACTAACTTTACAGCAGCCTCTGTAAATCAGGGTAGAAGCGCTGTGCTCAACATGAGGAGAATTTGAGGAAGCTTCTTCAGGAAAATAAGCACCAAGTGTGTTGATAATTAAAGATATGGATAAGCACGCAATAACATGCCCACTTTACTGCAGCCTGAACCCTGACAGCTCCACTGTATCCCTGTGTCATGTAGAAAGCCTGTGGCAAGGTGAAGACTAGCTGCAGGAGGTGGCAGCAGTCCTTGAACTTCATAGCACAAGGAGCTGACTTGCTGGTTGGGTGAACTGTGGGGTGTACTGCAAAAGCTCCTGTTGGAGACTGAAGTGTCTCAGAAAATCATGGGTGGCTCGCAGTCTGCGTTTGCAAAAGCAGTCCTCTAAAAGTAGGTGCTTTGGATAAATAACCTTGGTAACTAGCATTGGCTCTACTTGCTGGAAAAGGGACTTAAAAGCTAGAATATGCTGAGGTGATTGTGCCAGTCAATGTCCCAGGTTCAGGAAAAACTGCAGAAGATGTGCAGACCACAAGCGATATAAAATTTTGCTGGTATGCATTTTGCCTAAGCCAAACTACCCCTTCAGAGGACCTTCTCTGGGCTTCGTTTTGTCATTTCCCCTGCCTCCCACTCCCCTTCCTTGGTTAAAAGTCCAAAAACAGTTAGGTTGATTCTTGCTATTGAAAATCTAGGCAAAATTAACAAGTTAGTAATGGCCCATTGCACATAAAAACCTAGCAGAATACTGCACGGCTTCAAGGCTTTATATAAAATAAATTGGATGCAGGCACATTCTTCACCATCCCCTTCAGCCTGCCATCTGTGCAGCCTAAAAATAAAGCAGCAGCTTAAGGAGAGGTTTGATAAAATGCATCCGAGAAATGCATTGGTAAAGCTCTGCCAGGCTCTGGAAATGCCTTTCAGATGCTGACCCTGGGTGCTGCGGAGGAGCTCATCGGCTCACCAGTCTCTCGGCCAGCCTCGGCACGACCTGCTCCACGGGCAGGGTAACTCCGTCGCCGTGGGAGAGATGCTGGCTGGCGACGTCGCATTAGCCAAGAGCTCTTTTTCCGTGAGAGCAAAGTTGCTGCCAAACTGGCAGGCAAGGCAGAGCCAATTCAGAAAATTTATTCACAGTGAGTAAAAAGGAGGCAATTAGCTACCTCATTAACATGAGAAGATCCTCGGGCACAAAGCGGGACTAACGTATGCACGTAGGGAAGTGCCATCGGTTTGTATGACACGAAGCTCCTCATCCCCTCCACCCCCAGCCGCTGCTGCCCTGCAGCGGGGGATTTAATGCTTCTGCTGCAGCAACGCGGGGCAGTTGGGGGTGGATCGGGGCTGTGGGGATTTCTCCACCTCCCACAAAACCACTTTTCAAACTATCTCCTTCTCTCATTATTGTTGCTAGCAATTATTACAGAAATAGACAAAATATTACAAAAGACTATAAAATAGCTATATATATAAAAATACTTTCTTGAGTGTTCTTACTATGTCCTTATTTATAATTAATTTAGACGAATGACACTCAGAAGTGTAAAAACGCCAATCGATTAGACAGAGAATAGAACTGGTGCTGCTTCTGTCAGCTGAAGCCCCAGCGCGCTCAGGACCGACAACGGGATTGCATTAAGCAGCAAGGTGAGGAATTCAAGGTGCCGGGAAAGTAAATGGCTCGCCCGAAGTCAGGCAGTGAATCGGTAAGACACCCATTAACAGAAATTAAGGGGCTTGCTGGCTGCTCGCATTAGTTACCCATGGGGAGGGCTGAGCCAGCCCTTCTGATGCTAAATGCAGATGGTTTGGGGTGGCTTTTTCCAGCAGCGTTTCGGATAACTTGAGCAATTACTGCTGATGAAGAAGAGTGATCTTAAAGCTTCAAGACTTGAATACATCTAATTCCATAGTAGTAATAGCACAGTCATAACACCGCTGCCTAAATATGCTTGACAAGGTATTAAATCAATCTAGTATAGCACAGCTTGCCACCCTGTGATAGTGAGATTAGTGGTTTGAATTAGAGACGAAACTTTCCCCATTAGGTGAGGCAATCCATGAATAAACTCCCAAGACTTAATGCTCCCAACACTGCTGGCAGTGTCACCTAATTTGTCCTTCCACTGACTCCACTCCTCCCCATCTTACTCCCGGACACAGGAGGTGGGCTCAGGGCTGCAGTTATTGTCCCCACGGTGCTGTTTATGAGGATGACCTGCAGCGCGGTCATGCACAGTGCTATTTCTTTGTCTCATTTGAGTTTCCCCCTCCCTACTGGCAGCTCATTTCTTGCCAGGCAAGGGACCTGTGGCAACCTCCCCGGGGCCCCTTTTCCTTTTGGCCAGCTCTGGTGGCAGCAGTCCCCTTGTCCCCAGACCTTGCAGCTGTACCCCACACGGCTTCACCCAGAAAACATCAGCAGGGCTTAGCGCGGCAGCCACCCCATGCACAGCACCGCCCCGTCCATCAAGCCCAGGGAGGGCTCGGGCACTGCTGTCTCCCACCCATGGGCTCATCGCCCGCACCAGAACCCTCAAACCTGCCTTGAGCCCCGTGGAGCTTTGACACCGCCACCCTCGAGTGCAGAAAGCCTACCTGTATGCGCGCATTTTCTCCTCAAGTCGCTTGTTTTTCAGTTCTCTGCTAAAGCCACGACTCTCCCGTGCTGTGTTTTAGGACTCGCAGCAGTGAGCTCTGGATTTCCTGCTAATGTAGCAGCCTCAAAGAATAATTAGAAACACGGTGTTAGGATTTTCTTTCTTAGCGTTTCCAGCAGTGCTTCATCAAGTGGCAGATTCTCAGAGAAGTTCAGGCTTAGAAACTGTGAGATAGGGGCTTGCTTTGCCAGGAAGGCAGGATGCCCTGCTGCGGCCAAGGCTCCAGGAGCAATGCCTTGGGAAGCACCAGCCCTCAGCATCCCCGCCAGGAACAGGAGCAGAACAGCTTTAGGGTGATGGAAAAGTTTATTTCACCGTAAGCAAGGGCTGTGTTCTCAAGAGCACACCATGTCCTGCAGCCATCAGTGTTCCCAAAAGCCAGGAGCAACTCTTCACACCAAAACCACAGCTCGCTGCTGTTTTTAGCAGAAGTAACCAGCACATCAAACAAAAGACAAAACAGATCCTGGTGCCATGGTTGTTTTTTGTTGGTTTTTTTTTTTTTTTTTTAAAAAAAAAGGAAAAAAGGCATCTCTCCTTTAAGTTCACCCAAAAGTCTATTTTTGATCTATTTCCACATGGGAGTAGGTGTAATAGACAAACAAAGCAAGTGGGTTTCTGCAGAAGGGAAGTACAGGGAAGGCAGCAGCAACCTAGAGGAACGTAGGTGCCCTTCGCGCCGAGCAGCAGCTCTCCGTAGGAAGTCAGATTCATTGTATGCAAGCTGGTCCCAGACAAGCTTGAGACAAGATGAATTATCCGGAACAGACTGACAAAGCGATTTAAAAATACAGAAGTATTCCATGCAAATGGTTCAAAAAGTTTATTGAATATTTAATTTACAAAAATCATATCCCTATGAGGTGTTCTATGCAAAATTGGATAAAATAAACTGCATATAAAACCCAACCCTAGTAATGCAAATACAACACAGAAATGCGACCATGGAAAGGAAAAAAAAAAAAAAAATCATGACACACATCTCACATTCATTAAGGATTGTCCCAACCATCCAAGAATTGGTTCACCATGATGCCTTCTTCCCAGATAGGTTTTACCGTTTTATGCAGGTCTTCTATATTCCATTGGTCCAAGTTTACAGTTCATAAACATTCTTGGCATTCTTTCTTAGCCACTACACCAGTTCTGCCACTCCCGTTTTGCTCAGAAGGTGGAAACAGACAGCACACACATGGAACACGTGCACCGTTAGCTGCAGCTCGCTATCTTTGGTAGGGACCCTAAATTTGCAGTGAAGTCAGCATTCTAGAATGACAAGAGTTTCAGTTTTAGTTTTGGCAAAGAACAGGCTTATTTTTGTTGTTTAGTAGAAAGTTAGTGGCAGTTTCTGTTGAATGTACAAAAAGTCTAGTGGTCTCTTGTACGGTTTAAAAACAGAGATCATTTATATGGGTTTTAAATCTAATTACTTGTGCTAACATTCCTTGACTCAAATATGGTTACATAAAATGGCATCACTGCACAGCAGGCCGTTCCTGGAACACAGACAGGATGTACTGCACGCAGGACACAACTGCGACGCCCTCCTCCCTTCCATCTCCCCTTTAAAGCACTGAACCTGTTCCTGCAGGTAGTCAGTCACACAGATCTGGATGCCAGCTTCCTGTGGAACAAGTAGGAATCACGCCGAGTGACTCAACACTTGTGTACTAACTTTGTCAAGTTTTCCTGGGAAAGAGGAGGGCAAAACAAAAAAGGTGAAGAAACTTGGGACAATCAGTGCTAGAGTGTTTGCAGCCCTCTTCTGGGATAACGCGGGCAGGAGAAGAGGGAGGAAAAATTAAAAAAAAAAAAAAAAAAACCAGGCTTTCAGGCAGCAACTTGGTAGCAGAAAGTAAGGAAAAAGTAACCAGACTGTTTCCTTCAGAACATTAATATTCCATAAATATTGGACAGTATTTGATTAACTGCCATTAGCTGCAACTTTCAAGCAGTCTCTTTGCTTTTTCACGCACTTCTGGAAAGAAAAAGAAAAAATTATGCACCTCCCCATTCCTCCCCACCCCTGCTTAGTGGAAATGCAAATAACCTGCATAGCCATGATTTTCTTAGCTGAAAACATTTAGTGGAAGACTAACTAGACTTAAACACTAAGTAAATCTGCTCACTTATGAGTAAAACATGCAATATTACGACAGACAGCTAATTGTCCTCGAAAAGGCTTTTTATGACAATTCCTAATTTGGCAGAGAAGAAACGTTTCCAAATGCATGAAAATCATTTAAGAGCCTTCGTGAAGAACATAGTAGTTACAATATATTAGCGATTTCTGTGGCATAAACATTTTAAAAAGCATCAGCAAAGTATTAAATATAAAAGCAATATGTATATACCCCTCCATCCTCAGAAAAGCATCATGATTTGTAGTGTATTAAGTCAGATTTATTGACCGGGGAATTAAGGCATAACCAGCAGACAATAGTCCTTATTGTCTCAGCTCCACATAATTGGCGGGGAACAGCCCGTATCGGCCTTTGCAGACACCCCTCCACCAGCCGTCATCGATCATTTCTATGTTTGTGATGATGTCATCCGGATCAAAGGAAATCTCGTCATCACCGGCTGGAGAGAGAGGTGAAAAGGCGCAGTACTCGCCCCGGAAACAA